GGGGGGTAGCACCTTGTACCGTATAATGGAAACAATAACAAAAACAGGACGCAAAAATGTTATTAGTCACATCTGCATTTTGGGAACCAATAAAGGTTCAAAATCACACCATTTCCGACGAAAGACTAAAATTGCACTCCAATAAAAAAAAAGTCAAGAAAAAAAATCATGTAGATCTAGGCCTACATGCTCTGGCTTGTAGCACATTCTAAGGAATAGGTAAACGTTTTCTTTCAGCATCCACAAGCCTATGAGGAGCAATACTAGACAGTAGAAAACAGAACATGTATCTTCTGACACAAAAACGTACTTACTTACTCTGACCCTTCAAAATGTACGAAATGTTTAACGTACTGGTTGCTAGCTATGTATTCCTGGTAATGTAGACGCGACCGTCGTAAGGCACTGACTGATAATTAGTAAACTTTAAACAGACATTAAAAAACTGTTTAAAAATAGGTAATAACTTCCCTTTTGACTCCCTGGTCATTATTTATCGATGGATTCTCATATCTAACGTCCTGAAGGGTTTGACTCATTCAATGCTGTAATTCTGTTCACTAGAACACTTGCTTTATTTGTTGGGAGTTAAGAGAAATGTGGCCTACATAAATTCGTAAACCTTGTTCAGCTTTTGTAAAAACCAAAACTTCTGACAGTGCGTGATCCAACGGAAGCACCCTATCAAACACAAGGTAGAACTTTTTGCAAAATGAATAATGTAGGATTTGAGCCTCCGTCAATATAAAAAGAAAAAATAACAAGAAAACAGGACCCAAAGTGGAATCTCACCACAAACTGTAGCAAGTTGGCAGTATTCTTTACCTATGTTAATGTTAGGCGACCTCAGTGCTTTCTTGTCGTATCTTCATTTTTAATAACAGTGAAAACAGTTCATAACAAAGAGTGAGCTTACGAAGGTGTCACATTTTCAATGTAAAAAAAAAAATGGAGATAAGACAAGAAAACACTGAGATTGCGTTAATTTGTCAATAAGAGTGAGAGTAGAGGCTTACCTGGGTGGTTCCTCGTCTGAAACGCTGGCCTTTGGTGGGGGCGGGGTGGGCGGTCGGAAGGTGGACATTGGCCTTGTAGCAGACGGCGGCTCACCAGTAGACCCGTGGTCTGGAAGAGTAGCAAACAATTGTGAGTTATATACAGAGCGGAAGGACTTCTGTAACCAGCGACCACCCCAACAAACACAATATAGAAGGGACCTAACCCTAACCCTGGCCCAACCCCTACCCCTCTATTCCACTTTGTTTCATAGTGCTCTCTCGTCACGGAATTCCTCCCCACAGTGCACACTGCCAATCAAATTGAGTTGAATTGGGCCGGGGTCTGCCAAATTTTCCTCTGTGGAGGGGCAAAAGATTCAATTGAGGCACAATTTGATTGAATTTGACAGTGACCTTCAAAAATAAATGCGTTTATTTTTCAAAGTTGTGAGCTGAACAATATTACATGTGTGTAGTAGTAAAGTGTGTGTTTGGTATGTGGTAATGGACTGTGTAGATTTGGAGAGGCTGATACTGGTAGATCTAGATGAAGACTACAGGGAAAACGACGGTAGCCACAAACTGGAAATTGTGAGGGTGCTAATTTTAAAAGCTTGTGGACTCATAACTTCCTATTTGTTGGACTGGTGGTTTATTGTTAAGCGTTGTTGAATGGGAAATCAAACAACAATAATCAACCACCAGTTGAACAGAAATACAGTTATGAGTCAACAAGCGTTCAAAATTGGTACGCTCACGATTTTCAGTTTGTGGCTACAGTCATTTTCCCCCTGTAGTCTTCAGATGGTTATTGACATTTCCCATGTCTGTAGGATTCAGGAACCTCTCAACACAGTGACCGCAATATGTGGCAGTCAGTACTTAAAGCTGTTATGGAAGAAAATGGCTGTGTTATGAATGGCAACATTTGCGCACAATAACACAGCGGGTGACTGCGTGCTGGTCAAAGTTTTCTATTCTTGTCAAATTTGACACACCGAGGAAGCGGGCTTTTCACTGTGTGCACCGAAGCCGCCATTAATCAACCCATCCTCACCCGATCCGATCCGCAATAGGCACAGGGTGTAACTGGGTATAACTTTCTGCATAGCTGTATACCTCTGAGGTATGGTGCACCCTACATTTTCTAATGGGGACCAATAACAGTAGCATTTTTCGTTCCAAATATGAAAAGAGATTAAATATTAAAGGCAATACTACACATCCTTAAGATAATAAAATTAAGACTTGATGAAGATGGTTTCATAACCATATTGATGACACCAACCCCAATGAGTTCCTAATCACTGACCCCCCC